AAAATTTGACACCTACAAGCTTCAGTGTAAAGTGCTCTTCAGACACTGCACAGTGTCTTCTTAGTCAGCTCACACGTAATGCTCACTGACGTAAGCGTAATAGATTTTGCAATGGACGTGGAAGTTTGGAAATGTCTTTTTAACTGGTTTCCCGTGTCCTGGGATGGAAGACGGGAGGAAGGCGAGCCAAGAGAGCGGCTTCGGCTCGTCCATCAACCCGAGATATCTAAATATTTATCCTGTGATCCACATTTATCCGTCCGCTGGTGCAGCTTTCTGGGTCAAAAACGTTATGTTTCTGGGAAGATACACGAGTATACAATGTTTATCCAGTGCTACCCACAGAGATTTATCCTAGACTGTCACAGTTTACAATAACACACATAAATTGTGGTGCGTGTCTCACTAAAAAAAAATCATTAGAATCATTAATTTGAATTGTGCACCAGCTGGGAAAATCTGTGCAGGAGATGTGAGTGAGTAGCGCTTTCGCTTCCATCAGCAGCTGACAGCCAGGCGCTCTTGAGCAAGGCACTTAAACAAAGCTGATGAAGCTGATTAACCAACAGGATGTCAGTTCTGCCAGTACGAAAAAGACATGTCAGCTAATTTTTAAAATTGCAGGGATTAAAACAGCAGGCACAATTCTACACCCACATGTACTTCTTGAGGGTGGAGAATATTCATTTTTAAGTGGAAACATTGGGCCTTCACGCATGGGCAGGGTGTGGTGCAAAAATCCAGGCACTCAAGTGGGTGGTTAAGGATAAAAAGCCTTTAGTAAATATGGGCTAATACAAACATGAAGACACTCAAAGGAGAGCGTTGGTGTATTATCTCATATTAATGGGGTAATACCATCCAGTTTGGTGCCAGGATTCTGAATGCCACACCCTATTTTTTGCCTTTTTGTATCATGAATTCATGAATTCATTCATTTTCTGTAACCGTTAATCCTGTGAGGTGTTGCAGGGAGGCTGGAGCCTATCCCAGCTGACACAGGGCAAGAGGCAGGGTACACCCTGGACAGGTCACCAGACTATCTCATAGAGACAGACAACCATTCACACCTACAGGTAATTTAGAGCCACCAATTAACCTGCATGTCTTTGGATTGTGGGGGGTAGCACGGGGAGAACATGCAAACTCCACATGAAATGAACATGGTTTGAACCCCCTTGCTGTGAAGCGGCAATGCCAATAACTGCACCACCATGGCCCGCTTCTGTCGTTAGTAATACATCACTGCAGGGGGGAAACACATTTATCATCCTCGGTGGGTTTCAGGGTGTGTTCCTCTGGAGTGGTCCAACTGTAAAACATGGCACTTCATAAAGCAGCTCGCATGTGGGGGCACTAACACTGCGACATGCCACACTGCTAACCTAAATTATGATTAATGCTGTTTATACTCATCCTTAAAGTTATACAAGTGCAGTATCGTCCATATTTGCGTGACCTGCAGGCGAAGCATCACCGATGGAGAGATTAGAAACTCATCCCACCTTTTACCACCAAAGAGAAACCATTTATCAAAGGGAGAGGATGGCAGGGCGGCGAGTTGGTCCAACTCTTCTGTCCTTTTTCAGCTCAACATACATACACATATTCTCTGGATTGCTGGAGGGATGTGCAGAAGGTGAACTGGGTTTCCGTCACCTCATTTGTCTTTGTATTTCATCCGCACACACACGCCTGATGTTGACCTTGGCTCTGACCAGACCTGCTGCCATGCGCCCTGCAGACGAGGGCCTGACCTCATTTGCCAAGACCTTCCTGTCCGACTAAATGGATCGCCTTACATTTCAGAGCAGCAACGCTGAAAAGAAACAACAGAGGGAGGAAAGAGGTGGCAGGAGGGGGGTAAAGTTAGACGAGATGAAAGACAACATTTTAGCTTGTAGGCCGCGGGGAATGACAACAAACATGGGGCCTCGAGTGAAACGGGATCTGCTGTGGAGGGAAGGTGGAGGTGCTGCTCTCTGTCATTCTGCTTGTCTCTCTCTGCCTGTCAACCATGAAGCATGGGAGCTTAATCTCTACAGAGATATGCAATGACCAGTTTACCTTGCAATCTCAAACAAAGCTTTTGTTGTTCAATCACCACTGGGCAATCATTCTGCAAATGTAGTACATGTCATCATAGTTTTCATTTAAGTAATTAGACATGCATTTCTTAGGGTTGAGAATATATCCTCTATTACGTCAGGTAAGTCCCAGTGAGTCTGAGAAACTTTTTTTTCTTGCATGTCTCCATGGTGAACTGAGAATCCAAAAAAGACAAACATTCGTCATTAATTAACAGATTACAGAACATTAACGGATATAAAAGCGAGAGGGTCAAAGTTCAGGGTGTGAAGTTATGAGAAAGTGGTATCTCCAGATTGTGTGCGTACTGCATGCAATGGTACGTACTTTTTAAGGGCAGCTTCAGTACATACTAAAAGTAAAAAGAAAAAGTATGTGATTCCAAACACACCCAGTGTCAGGGCTAACCAGAGGCAGAGTAAGGTGGGCCATTCCTTCACTATCCTTGGATTTGCAGATTCGCTCCCCACACACATGCGTTCTTGACCAGGTGCGCTACTCACCTGTGCATGAACATGATGGTATAGCGTGTTTTTTCAATCGTAAAGCTGTCACGAAAATACAAATTTGGGAAGTACTGAGACTGGCAGAAGTTGTGTGAAGGTTGTTCTGCCGTTGTTAACGTGGCCCCCATTTACCTCACTTGATAAATGTTCGTCTTTTTTGGAATTTCTGTTCACTGCAGAGGCAACAGAGAAAAAAGTTATCTTCACAAAGTCAAGGTAAAGCAGGGTGAGTATATAATATGCACATTGTCATCTTGCCAGAGATGTATTCCTTTAAATTTGTCTGTCCCACAAGTTCAGAGCCACAGGTGACATTTTAAACTTGCTTATTTTTGTCTGAACAGTTATCAAGATACTCAGGTTACACGGATTTCAAACACAACAAAGCTGGAGTCAGCGAATGTTTGTTATTTCTGCTTAATAAAGTCCTTAAACAATGGATCAGTTATCAAGATTGTTTCATCTTTATGTCAGTCGATTAATCAAGGCATTGTTTCATCATTAATGTTGACAAAAACCCTTCTCTTAGGTCCCCTCTAGGCTTCTGTAGTTTCCATCAACACGTTTCCTGCCTCCAGCAAAACACACAACTACTGCTGTAAGTAAATACTGTCAAAGGCATCAGCTTCTGAAACTAATTAGAAAAGTTTGGAGGTTTTTATCTTTGTAGTGTTGTCCATCATTCATCTTGGGTATCACAACACTGCTGATATCTGTGCACACCAACCAAGAGCTGGCAGTGATGGTTGTCTTAGCGACACCTGCTGGTCAGTTGTGGCACCTGCATTTAAGCTGCAATGCATCCTGCACATGTTGTCAGCTCAACATCTGTGAGACTGTCTGATGCTACAGTGTAGTTATTAACAGGGATATGTGTTGAATAGGGCTGCAACTAACAATTATTTTCATTGTTGATTGATCTTTCGATTATTTGTTAGATTAATTTTAGTTGTTTGGTCTGTAAATGTCAAAAAAAGTGACAAATGTAGATCAGTGTTTCCCACAGCCAAAGATGACATCCTAAAATGTTGTTTTGCCCACAACCAGGGGTGGAAATTAACTTTTTGTACACCTGCCAATGGATTCCAACATCTACCAGCCACTCAATAAGTTACCATTGTTGTTTTAGGTTTTTTTGGCAGGTGAGTGAAGCAAATCAAGCAGCCACTTGCATATTTTACCAGCGTTTGGCTGGTGCTAATGTCCAACCCTGTCCACAACCCTAAGATATTCAGTTTACTGTGACAGAGGAGTAAAGAAACCAGAAAATGTATATTTATATTTAGAGTTGCAACGTTTAAGAGGCTGGAATCAGAGAATTTGGACATTTTTTTAATCAATTTTCAAATCAGTTGACTATTAATTTCCTGGTTGTACTTCAACTCTCTTTTGGTGCTGATCAAACTTCGTCCAAAGCGCCCAGGTTCAAAAACAGAAACTGTTTTGTTAAAGCAAAGGTCTGGTAGTGCTGCTTGTGTCAAGGACACATTGAACAATTTGGAACATGGACTTCTTAAAAAAGATTTTTTGGGGCTTTTTGCCTGTAATGACAGGACAGTTTGAAGTGTGAAGGGTGGAGAAACTGAGGAGATAGCATGCAGCAAGGGGCCATGGGCTGCAGTTAGGACACTTTCTCTATACATGGGGCAACCGCTCTACCCACTGAGCCAGTGGGCCCTGACTTTTTGTTTTAAATGGAAAAAAGGGGGGTTGTAAATCATATTCATATTATATTATGTATGGTGTTATAATGGTTTTAGCACACACATCAATAATTTAATTGTATTTATCAGTTTCCCCACACAAAAAGGGGACATCTTTAAATTGCCTTGTGTTCGACGAAGAGTTCAAAACAAACACCAAGTTATTTAATTGACTTTAGCATCAGACTGGGACTGGCAGCAAATCTTTACAATTTAAAAGCTGGAGCTATAATGTTCAGAATTTTTGTTTGATAAATAAAGCACATCATCAAAATCGCTGGCAACTAGTTTGATGTCAATCAATTAAGTAACTTGTCGTTTCAGCTTTTAATAATAATAATACTGAAACTTTCCTTTCCTTGTTTCTAGTGGAGAGAGCGTTAGATCATTAACTACAAGCTAATTAGATGACAGTAATAAAACCAGAGGGGAATTTCGAACAAGTTAGAAGGAAGGAAGGAAGAAGGCCCAGAAAATAAGTGTCGTCTTCTGATACTTTTCTGATTCAGCTGCAGCCACATATATCATTGCAGTTATTCTAGACGAAAAGATAAAAGAACCATGAGGATTTAGTTTTGCAGAATAAAACGTGTCCAATGGCAGAAGGTCCAGCCTGAAACTCTTGTGCCTTGAAAAAAAAAAAAAAAAGCTCAATATGTGGGTTGGAAGGAAGGAAATAAAAAAGTAAGACAAGCAGACAAACTTCAGTTCTCTCAGCGCTTTGAGAGCCAGCACCAAGAGAAGACCCTGCTTCTGCGAGGAGCTGCCTTAGCGAGTTTATTTACAATTCACAAAATACAGGTGTTGCTCTCAAACAGTGTTCAAGCATTTCACATTAGTGCCGTCATCTGACAAACCACAAGTTCCTCTCCTGTTCCTCCCTCTATTGCTCTCAGTCTTTGGTTTCCCAATCTTGAAACTTGGCTTCACATGAGCAACACTCCTACGATCATTTTTTAAATACTCTTTACCCACTCAGTTTTTTCCACTCTCATATGGTCTGTCTGAATTTGAAATAATCCAGGTTTTCCTTATGTGCAACCTTCCAGGGGAGGGTTTCATAGGCCGCCTTCAAATACCTGATTTTTTTTTTACAGCGTAGTCTTCATTTTTGTATAATTCAACATACAGGTTAGCTTCAAAACTTAGCTGGTTAGAGTTTGGGTTCATCTATATTTGTCCATATTTATTCATATATATAATATGTACAATTTAACCCTCTTTTATGGCTTCAATATTACATGTCTATCTGAGGATCTGTTTGTAGTAGTTGTGCGTTGAATGTATGGCGGCTAACTGAAGGCATGTGTACAAGTAATGTTAATTTATTCTGTGTACTTGTTTTAATGAATAACTTATTTGCTCCTATGAGTGATAAAGAGGTTGCTATAAGCGCTAGGATGCTGTGCGTTTAAAAAACATAAAATAAAACTAAACATAAAAGTGACTGTCGAAGGTAAATACTCACGCGGCCTTTGTTAAGTCTGTTGAAAAAGATTCTTGTTCAGAAACACCACATAGGCACGAAATCCTCAGTTTATAAACTCTTTCCTGGATGAAATGAAAATGTCCAGTTTGTAGGAGTGTTAATATTTTGTTAACCGAGGACATCCATGTGATGAATATGTTGCTTTACAACAAAAACCTAATTTCAAATGTACCAGCATGAGTCTACAAGCCTATCAGTGATGTGTGCAGCACCCTAATGGCTCCACCCAGAGACAATCTGTAGATGTGCGTGGATTTGAAAGCACCTGGTGCTAAATTACTAAAGTGACAACATGGAGCTGTTAATGTAATAACTAGTTTCATATTGTCCTTTAGAGAAATGTTACCGTAGTCTGATGCTAACCAGACAAAATTATTATTTTGACCCACTTTTATTTTATGTGACTGCATCTTACTTTGAAGGACAACACAAAGTGGACAGCTCAGTTAGGCTGTGACGAGATTAAGCCTGTCACGATAATAACGTTATTGTGTGATATATGGACAAGACCATGATTGTTTGCTGACCATGATATCGATCCAAAATGATGCCAGAATAAACAGAAGGGTTTTCCTAACAATTAAAAGACATGATGCAGCAGTTTGCCCTTTTTTCTTCTCTACACCGTCACCTACTTGAGTGAGTCCGAAGACAAATCAGTTCCTCCAGAATGTTGCAGGTTTTTTTGGGGATTGTTGCAACCTGAGATGACTGATTTCACAGCAGCTTTTCTAAAACACTGCGATACATGTTGCAGTGTTTATAGGTGTTTTTTTTGTGTGACGAAAATACAGGGATAAGTGAAAATTGCATTTACAGCTGATCACCACCGATCAGCTGCTCGACTCAGTGCCGAAGAGCTGTCTCCGTGAGCCACTTTCTTTCTGCTCTCTGCCTGGAGAGCATGAGCTAACACAGCACAGCGTGATCTCATCCCAACTCGTAATATTTTGATGCTAAGGCAGAAGCCTGGCAGCAGCGTTTAACATCTGACACCAAGCCGTTAATCTAATGCTAACACCGAAACGGCTCGACTCTGTTGTTAAACCTATTAAGCGCTGGGTTACGTTATGTGATGCTAACAGTTAGCCGTGTCACTGTGTGTGACTCTGTCCTCCCAGGCACAGAGCTCCAGTCCTGCAGCAGCAGTCTCATGTTGTTGAAGGAGGAAGAGGGGCTGAGTGAATCAATACACTGCATGCAGCCCTATGATGAAATTAGATTTTACCCATTTTAAATAGTCACATTTGCGGTTTAAGTTGCAGAGATTGGACAACATTGCAGGGCCACGCAGCCTTCATGGGGATTTGCTGAATTTGCATCAACTGTTACGAGTCCTGAAGGGACTGAAAAATAAAAACACTTCAAAGATGACGCAGTTTAGCTTACTAATAACCAGCAGCTGCACTTTTCCTGGGGAAGAGGCACAGTCCTGATAGTTATCAGCTTGCCAAGCCCTAGCAACGAGCCATGAAGTCTGTCATTCGTACTTTTACCCCTTACAACTTCATCCTCCACTCTGTAAATCCACCAGCAAACCACCCAGTGTCCATCCCTGGGAGCTGACTGCAGCACACTGGCTGGATTCTGGAGGTAACTGCTGTGTTCGTTAGTCGCAACAGGCATCACTTGGTTTTGGTTTTGTTGGTCAAATTTTGTATTAAGTCTCAAACTTTGTGATTTTGGGCTACTTGTATAAAGAAACTATGATTTATATAGATGTTTCTTTATATGAGTAGCCCAAAATCACAAAGTTTGAGAATCTTTTCAAAATATGTTTAATATTTTTTAAACTTTCCAATGTCTGAATATTCTTTAGAACAACAAGTATACTTGTATTATTAGGCCTTTTTATATCAGAGGCATTAACAGTCTGAAAAGGACAAAAATATGGTTTATCACAATTAATTTAGGAACAAGATATCACCCAATAAAAGTAGTTACCGTGACAGGACTTTTTTTGAGATCAAATCTGGTCAGTCACCACTGAGCTTTATGACACTGATCCAGTCCACCCCATATTCACTCATCCAGTCACTGTAACACACACACATGCACACACATACACTCACTCATACATCTGCTCCACTCAAGTGTCGAATACTTGAGTATCTTCAATCCAAAACTAATTCTGAATTTCATGTAAATCCGTGTTTCATTTAAAATAAACTGTCTATAATATGTTTCTGTTCGTTCCTCTGAGTGGAGCGTTACTGTACACCAGCACAAGCATTATAAAACTAATTTGATCTTGCTGATTCTGTAACCTCCAGTTGTTTCTCCATTGTGTAGAGGTTGAGCTGTGCGCCCCCATGTGGTCAGAAGGTAATATTGTGGTAATACTTTCCAGTAGAGCAACATTTGCTGTTAAGAGAGGGTCATTAACACAGTTTATGATGCAGTTCTGAGGAACATGCTCAGGGATTTGTTTTGGCTCTGTATTCAAACACACTGGATTGTAAGCATGAGGTTTAAGTGCTGACTTTCCCCCATTAGCATAGGATTTCTAGCCCTTTTTATCCTTTTGGGGGGTATGTTTAAAAAATATGCTACAATTTCTACACAGCTCATTGTAAGTCAATGTAAACACCCTCGAATTAAAGCTCAATGTCAGCACTTTAATACCAGAGTCAGTCTTGTTGTTTTGATCCAATGTACTTGAGTTTGGAGCTAAAACAAAGCTGTCTTATTGCATCAAACTGTACTGAAGGTAGCTGATGGGAAGTGAGCATTTCCTTGTTCAAACAGCAAAATTCAACATTGCTTTTAGTGTGCGTTACGCTCCATAAATAATAAGCTTTTTGAAAGCCAATTTCAGAACCAGGGGGTCTGTCAAGTTAAACACTAAAATGAAAATGAGTTAAAGCATCAGAATTTAGGGAGCTGGAACTTCCTTTCAGCCATTTCAAGGCCGTTTTCTTCCCTGATTACTGATGGACACTTTGTCAACCCCACATCTAATAATGAAGCATTCAAGACAAGCTGTCGCCTAACAGTTGTACGTTCCCTCACCTGCTATGAACTAGATCAGACCGCAATTAATAGATCTCAGTAAACAAAATAAAACTTTGCTCAATGAATCTAAAAATTCTGGAGCTTTTCAAACCTTTAGATGTTTTGTAACCAATACTGATAACCATGATCTTAACGGTGTGATAAACCTGTGTGTCGATACCCAATGCTACGGCCAGGTGTTCACTTGTCGCTGTCACGATCTCCACGCAGCCGTCTCTCATGCTGGCGCTTGGTGATGATGTATTTGAAGAACTCGTAGACGGACCAGCTGATGGCTGTGGAGGGCATCTGGTAGATGACCCGCGCTTGAACGCCTTTGAAGAAGGCCGGCATGCCTCCCATCCTGTACACCGTCCGAAAAGCCTCGCCAAGACCAGTGATGTGGCGGCTGCCAGAGGCCGAGGCAGTGGCTGCTCCAACCGCTCCGGCTGCTGTTGCAGCCTCAGCCTGGATGACATGTATGGCCTGAGCCTCCTGTGTGTTGAGGAGGGTCTTGCAGACATCGAGCGGAGTGGTGGCAGCGGCGGCCAGGGCTCCAGCCAGCGCCCCTGATACAACATGAGAGGAGGGGTTGTACTGTCTGTGGGGGTTGAGGAGCTCCTGGAGGTACTCATAGGTTATGAAATGGAGTGCCTGGAAGGGCACGTTCATGGTCAGCTGGGTGGTGTAGCTGCGGTAGAAAGCAGCAGGGCCATCGGTCCTCCACAAAGACCTTACACAGTCAATCACACCACGGTAAGGAGAGTTGAACATCTGCATTCTCTGTTTCACAACTAAAGGGAGAGAGAAGGGGAAGGAGAGGAAATAAGGAGGGGAAAACCCAGTTACATATTTTACATGATTCAAAAACAAAACGTGAAGAGAAAAGAGAAGATGGGAGAACACTAGAAATAAAGGATAGAAAGGAGTAAAACTAGACTTTCTGTCTCAAAAACAGTGTTTTCATACAATATACAGTAACAATATGTAGAATATGTGATCCATCCATCCATCCGCTCATTCGTCCATAGATCTGTCCATCCATCCATCCATCCATCCATTCATAGATCTGTCCATCCATCCATAGATCCATCCGTATGTATGTCCATCCATTCATCCATCTACTGTATAGATCCATCCATCTATCCTTCTGTCCATTCATTCATCCACAGATCTGTCCATCATTCATAGATCCATCCATCTGTCCATTTATTCATAGATCCATCTACCCGTCAATCCAAAGATCCAGACATCGTTCAGTCAATCCTTCCATCCATTCAGAGATCCATCCATCCATCCATCCATCCACCTGTATGTCCATCCATCCATCCATCCATCTGTATGTCATCCATCCATCCATCCATCCATCCATCCACCCACCTACCTGTATGTCCATCCATCCATCCATCCACCTGTATGTCCATCCATCCATCCATCCATCCATCCATCCATCCACCTGTATGTCCATTCATCCATCCATCATCCATCCATCCACCTGTATGTCCATTCATCCATCCATCATCCATCCATCCATCCATCCATCCTTTAAGATTATTTTTAACCAAATTCTCAAGTGTTTTTTGACAAACCATCTTTTCCTTATTCAAGCATTGCAGGTAACTATAAAGGTAAGTCGTACATGACTCATTTGACTAAAAGAAATTAAGATGAATAAATTACATTAGATTTAAGTCACAGTGAAATGGAAGTCAGAGAAATTTTACCCTCTGTACTGCGACACATTTCCCAGTGAAACACAATATTTATAGTAGCAACTAGTAATAGATACAAGAGGGATTTAAATAAAATCCATTGCATTTGATTCGACAAACACCATGGATTTGTTACAGGAGAGTCTGAGCAGACAGTTGGCTCCACACACCACCCCCCTTGCTATTAGATAGGGATGACAATGAGGGAGGGGTGAATGAATTAGACCTCAGTCATCCAATCAGATGAGACTTTTGGTGACGAGCTAGCCACACCGGTCATATAAAACCGCACTACTACAAGTGGTTGTAGTAGTGCGGTTTTATATGACCGGTGTGGCTAGCTCGTCACCAAAAGTCTCATCTGATTGGATGAGTGATCAGTAGCACATGGATACGGGATTAAAACTGGGAAATGTGTTTTTCATGTCATGATAACTTTAAATGATTTTTGACAACATATATGATATTTGAGAACAAATTCAAATTTAAGACTTTATTAACTTTTAAGGCCTAACATAACAACACAAAAGAAATTGAATTTAAGATGAAGTCTTTTTAAGGGTCAGCAGACACCCTGCAAAAATCTTAGCAGAAATATGAAGTAACACAGCTGAGAGTCTGCAGCTCCACCAAGTGTCCTGATGGGAGAACAGCACCATCACAGGGATTTTCTATAAGGGTCTCTGAAGAAGGTTAGGAATTTTTATAAACAGACTATGAGTAAGTCTTCACTGTGCAGAATGTACCACGAGTGTGTGTGAGTGTGTGTTTGGGGGTCAGGTGGGCTGACATAAACGAAGAGGTGGAGGCTTTACCTTCAGCTGGGTTCATGGTCGCGTCGTGCAGCACTGTGGCCATGCAGCCCGCCAAGCCTGCAGAGAAAACAGTGTAGAGGAAGTTAAAGCCTCGACCACAACAACCTCCTTCATAACCAACAAAGGGAGCTTTATATTTACAGCAAGTGCCTCAAAATGAGTTGCTGAATGGGATTTTAAAAAAGTAAGAAGGTTACAGTAAATTTGAGCATCGTGAATGGAAGTAAAATTTGCACTGCAGTGTTTCTGTTGGTACACATCTTACCATTTGCAAAGTGGCTGTTGGCCCCAGGGTGAATGGCGTCACTGAGTGAAAACTTGATCTTTTCGTAACAGGCAAAGTAGAGCGCATGGGCAGGCCCCGCCCCCACTGCCAGCACATTCACACCTCGGATCGGCCGCCACACGCCTTCAGTCCGCACAATCTGCCGCAAGGCATCCATCACGTTCCTGTAGCGCGCTCCCGGCTCGGGGTGCAGGCTCTGCATGCGGGTCTGGTGTGAAAGAAACAAACACAGACACAGAATTAAATTAGGTATCAACATCGTAATCCCTAACTCTACAGAACTGGTGACCTCTTATTAGATAGATGATGTTCTTACAAAGAAAAGAAATTACAATGAATGCATTTTCATTGCATTTTAACCACGTGTGGTTCAAACTCAGGATGTCAACTCTCCTGATAGTGCTTGAAAAACCAGATGATCATGTAAGCAAAGTGCATTCAACAAGACAAAACAAGCTTGGATCATCTTGCAGTTTCACCTCTCTTTCACTTCTCTCACCCAATTTCAGTGTGTGTCTGTGTCGCTGCAGTGTCTACATCTCACACTGACAGTCTGTCAACTAGAAATCACACCAACTTCAACCCACATTTATGACCGTGCCTCAACCTCAAACTCAGACAGAAACAAATGCCGTCAAAGTCGCCAACCACAAACCACGAACGAGAACTGGGAGTGGTGCACACAGCCAGGAAGTGGTGCAAGATAAAACACTCTTGCAATGCTTAGATAAGCAGTACTGTTTGCTAATGCACAGGGTACATCAGTGAATCTGTGCATGGCTAAATAAAGCCACCCAAAACCAGAGCAAGGACAAGATTATAAAAGCTCCAGACCAAGATTGCGCAATCTTCAAACTTTTCATAACATGAAATAAGTGAATTGCCTCTGTCTACACCCTCCCCTCTGGGGTAAATATTTACAGCAGAGGAGGGTGCACGGCTGCCTCCTGGAGGCTTACAGGGACATTCCTGCTCCCTGCTTCTGGGAAATGGTAACTCACATGGAATGTGCCCAGTCATCCAGGATATGAGCAGTGTATTCAAGCCTGGTGTTTTTTTTTTTGTCTTTTTAGGGTTTTGGAGTGCCAAGTGGGGAGATTGCTCAACCCATGAGCCAGACAGTTTCACCAAAAACACAGTCAGGTGTCAGTGAGCACAGAAACAACACAGAGGGCTTTGTGTTCATGTCACTTTTCACCTGGTAACCGACTATCTTGACATATATCTTATTGAGACTCTGGGGAAGTACAGACGTCGAAGCTCGCATGCAAACGAGACAGCTGGTGCTATTTTAAAGTTGCATTTGTTGAGATATACACATCACGAGGCCCTCAGTAATGTAAACAGCAGCTAAAAGGCAATTAATAGGATGGAGTCATTGACTCATTCATGTGACATATGGTGTTATGTATTACTAATTGTCAAGGGGGGGTGAAGGAGCACAAGTTAAATGTATGCAGTACTCGACATGTTATCTACAATGTCTGCACAACACTTGTTTTCATCTTCGTAGTGATTTTTGTGCATTCAAAATGTACTATGCATTATCAACTTGTTATTTTGTTGAGTACTTATATTTTAGTTACAGTCCTACTATTGCATGTTCGATGTTCTCTGTGTCTCTTAAGTTTACCTTACAATGACCTCTGAGGGACTAATCTTCAACCTGGCAGCTACGGCTGGCTCTGGCCTTGCTTAGTGATAAAAGGTCCTTGATTTGATTGGATGGTAAAAAGGTAATACTGTTAACATCTGCTATCCATGCAGCCTGGAAACCTACATTTTGTCTCCGCTGTCAGGTCAGTATAGCAAATCTAGTAAGCAAAATAACAGATTTCATTCCTTGAGTCATTGGCATTTAAAGGACAGTATGTAAGTTTTATTTTTATCTTTGCACCACATGTTGTTCATCCTTCTCCTTAATGTTATTATGAATCACATACACAAAGTTTTACATCACAGTCTGCCACATTATGTGCTTTGCTTACTGTCAATCTGAGTGTTCCAGGAAGCAACAAACATTTCTATAAGGAAATAAATGTCTAACATTGTGCCCTCATAGACGTCATTGCCACATCACTGTCCTTGAATTCACCATGACGCTGTTAGCAAGGAGAGTTAATAATTTCCTGCTAAGTTTAAAACAACTAAGTATGATATTTGTATGTACAGTGATGTTTGGTAGATGAGTGATTTTTTAAGTAGAATGCCACGTGTGGTGCTGCTAATCAGTCATTAACGGAAACAAAGGTGTCTGTCTTCTCTACTAAACTACATTTAGGACTGGGACATCTTGTTGCTGTGTGTTCAAGATTGTTTTTTAATGTTATAAGAGTTGTTTTTGCCATGTAACATTACCCTGAGAGAAGCTATTTAGTGAATAACTGTCCCAGCATGGGAAAATAGAATTTATGAATATCGTTGAGCAAAGCCTTTGACTTTTTCATGGCGACCAAGAGAAAAGGAAGTGAAAGGGGAACTTCACCACACTGACTTAACGCAGGAAACCCTGCTTACAATTCCTAGTACTACTGCAAAAAGTTGACTCCTCTGTTGCTACAGAGGGAGCTGCGTGAAGTCTAACTAGCTAGCTGCTCAAGACTACATTAGCTGCTACTAGCATAACACACCCAAATCTCCAATCGCACTGTCGGCAGGCTTCGCATTTCAGGCAATGTAAGAATTGGAGCAACTTCACACCAGCCGAAAATTGTTCTGCTAGCATACAGTGGTTGAAGTTCACACTGTAACAATGGAGAAGTGTACCCAAGTGCTGTCAGAATACTTTGACACTGCTGCTGGGTTTTGCACAGAGGTGCAAACGAGGTGCATGAAACAGAGTCTGAAATTTGTGGGGAAAAAATGACCTAGTAGATAAAAATGTTGGCTAACCTGCTGTGGAGCAACAGGGAACTAAGATGGCGAAAATAAAGAAATCTTGGTAAAGAGGAAGTTGTCCACATATCATTATTGTAGAAAAAAAACAAACCGACTTCATTGAGCTAAAATATTTTCGCCCACAAAGAACTGTAATGCACTTCCTCCTTCTACTTCGTCTTTGTGGCTGAAACAAGGCAGCCACAGTTCTTGGACTTGAAGGAGGAACAGAAAAGTTTAGGGGAGAAGATCATTAAAAATCTTCACCTCTTCTCCTAAGTTACAATCACATTTCTTAATTTTTATACTAATTTAATTCAGGTTCTTGTTGGACAAACATTTCATAACCTGTGATTTTTTGAGGGCCGTTCAACAAAAAGATATCTCTTTTTTTATTTGTCTCTCTTTATCTTTCGTGTTTTTTTTTAAGAAATCAGAAATAAGTATAATTCATCCTAGCGAGTCAAAATAATACTTTTAGGCATCTAAGAATCATAACGACACAATCAGCTGTGCACGATGTGTCTGATGCAACACTTTGCAATGGTAACTGCTCTTGTGACAGTGGGGTGATCAGGTTAAAAGCCATCTTGCCAAAAAGTGATCTGATCTAGAGGAGCTTATCGTTTAGGAATTTGTAGTAAACAAGAGTTTTGTTTGACTGATCACCAATAACTATTTGTTCTTTATCTTCTGATACAACACGAGGGCCTGAACAATGGTCTGGATACAGAGTACTAATGTCCTATAATACAGAATGAGTAGTTTGAAGAGACCAAGATTAATTTGCATTTTGTCTTAATGTTGACAACTGCCTTTTGACTTATTCATTCTGATGAACCATTCCTAATTCTAATTTATAGGTCTTTGGTGAAAAGGGGTTTCATTGTCAGTGCAACAGCTTTTTGAAAAAGTCTTTGGTGTTGAAGTATGTTGAGGGATCAAGTAGCTGAATCGAAGCGAGTTTCTGGAGTGAGTTAACTGTCAGAGTCTGGAATGAGTGGCTAGTTTGGTCAGCTCAACTTCAGGCCCTAAAATGGTTCTTCATTTGACACAGGAAATCTTTGATGCAATCTTTGAGTAAAAGCGAATAGTGTACAGTCTGTACTTTTGTGCTTATCTTCGTAGTATAATGTTTTCACAATTAGTGCACAGGAAATTATTTTTCTCCTCTGCTTTGTACAACAGGAAATAACAAACATAAACCAATAGACATAAGCAAATGTTCTTTCCCAAGATTTATTTGTTTCCCTTTTCCCACTACTGTCCACAATTGGTTTTATGTCTTCCACTTGTACATAGCTCCTCAATTTATGTTGTGTGCTGTGGGGCAACAATGTCGATCAGCACCACATACTAAATAAAGTAAATGTAATATACATAACATTATCTTTGAATGCACTTACTATTGTAGTCTCTTTTCAAGTGTAAGCATGCGACATAGTCTTAGAAATAGTACGTAATGTGTTGCTTGAATACAGCGAGGGTACAGAGAGTTTAAGGTCAAATTTATAGATCTGTTTGAGAGGGACCCCACAGGTATATCTGTCATATTAGGTCCCAAGTTTTGTAGTTTAACACCTGAGCACTACTCCTGATGCAGGCAAATTTAGTAGGATGAATAATTAATCCTCTCCACTGCTGGTAAAACAGTTGGTTTCTACCCTAACATGGATTGATGTGGTTGGGTAATCATAAAACTATTCAGTTATGTCACCTATATTGATTTACAGTACATACACACACAAGAGATAAGCGACTGGTAGGACAAATGTGTACCACACGCTCTTCTGCCAAGCCAAAATGTGTTATTTCCAAACATTCACCCATTTATACAGTCGACCATTGATCTGGTGACCCACCTGTGTTAATCATTTACTACTGTTTCTTCACTATGGACTTTCCACATGACGTCCTTCAACATCTTTCACCACTTTAAATCCTTTATGTTATCTTAATAATCAGAAAGTTAACTCCGACTATCAATGCAAATGAGCTTTAAACCAAATAACTGCATCTTTGTTTAGATGACATATGCTAATTTGATTGCTATGCTCTCTCTGATAAACCTCTTCTTCCATTGACGGACACACAGCTAATGCTAAATCCTTTTAAGTTCAGCTTTTGTCAAGTGTTACTTTACCAATATTACAAACAACTAAAAGTATTTTTTGTTTTTTAAAAAAAAAAGTACAATGATTTTTGTCAAGTGGTGGGACTCGGAAAAACAACAACAACAATGTCCCTCTTAAACTAAAATGACACCTGTTTCTATCCAAATGAATTAAGACTGTTAAAAGGTGCTGATCTAAGTAAGATATATGATTCCACCTCACAGAGACGTGTCTGTTAAGGTCGTGTCCGATAATGGGGGCATGTTAGCCAGCAGACAGGCAACTGCTACTTTAGCTAGCAGGCTAGTGTATGTAGCATGCTAGCTCAGTGAGAGAATAAGCAATTGTCAGTTTGTTACTGCACAACTACCAGACAAAATTAAAGCCGAACTGTGGTAAACACACCCACTCGTGTTTAGATTTTCACTTTGACTGTCCTGTGTTGCGTTATTTCCTGTTTAGGTAATGTTAATTAGTTAACTGACCTCTGTTAGCAAGGTTACCCCTGTTAGCATGTAGCCTGACGTTAATCGAGCTCAGGCTTGTTTTGAGGCCTAACTGCTACGTTAGCTCTGGGTTTACCGTTAAACAACCACTGCTGCGTCCAGTGTGACATAAACTGGGCCTGGACACGTTTGGAAATAATACATGTGTTGCACGTCTTTGGTTTAATACCTTGACACAGTCGATTGGGTACATAAGGCAGTGTTCCATGATTCCAGCCACGGCTCCTGCCAGCATGTGAGTGCTGGTGGCTGCTCCATGAGGCAGCCCTTCATAGTCTATTTCTGGCTCCACGGAGGTCGAGGTCTCCGGAGTTGCTCGATGCAACATCGAGGAAAAGTCCGGCTCCCCTGCCATTCTCGGAGAAAAAGACCCAACAAATCCTCCCGTGGCTTCCAGGAGCCTGCCGCCCAGCCATCGAAACTCTGTCCCGGCTGCAGCGCCTGAGACCCGGCTGTCGACGCCCGGTGTTTCCACGGACGTTCGCCGGGACACGAAACCGTCCGCTTCCATTCAAGTGCGAAAGAGTTTAGTCCTGCTGCTCTGTTCAAATGGCGACCCGCCTGGTGGTGCAGTCTTCCCAGTTGTTTAATTAGTTTCCCAGCTGACCGGAGAGTGTTGGCGGGTCGCTGCTCCTTCGCGGTAGGCAGCTGTAGAAAGTCCGGGAACCGGGAGTCCAGACAGGTGGGACCTCGGTGGGTTTGTCAGTGAGTCACTCAATAAGATGACGCTGATTCGACAGGCTTACTGTCAATCACTGAGAGTCGCTTCCATTGGCCAGATCTGTCTTCGAAATAAGGCGGGCACATTAAGTGGGCGGGGTTTACGCGTCAATGGGCGTTAACGATTTCGTAACATCGGAGATCACATGTACGTCAAGGAAGTGTGTTTTAAACAGGACGTCCCAAACTGGAATGAAAACCTAAAGAAACATCCATGACTTAGGATATAAAGTATGAATAGAAAGTTAAAGGCCAACAGTATAACTTCTCTTGTACATGTATAAACAATATGGCTTCAAAATCTTTGTTTACATCAAAAGGATCAGGTGCATATAGAGAATATAGACAAAAAAAAAAAAACAGACAAGAGATCATATGTCATATCACACCCACACACACCACTTTATTAGGTACACCTTGCTACTCCCAGGTTGGACCCCTTTTGCCTTCAGGACTGCCTTAATTCTTGGTGGCACAGATTCAACAAGGCGCTGGAAACATCCCTCAGAGATTTAGGTCCATATTGACATGATGACATCACACAGTTGATGTAGATTTGTCAGCTGCACATCCATGATGAGAATCTCCCGTTCCACCACATTCCAAAGGTGCTCTATTGGACTGAGATCTGGTGACTGTGGAGGCCATTGGAGTACAGTGAACTCATCGTCATGTTCAAGAAACCAGTTTGAGATGATTTGAGCTTTGTGACATGGTGCGTTATCCTGCTGGAAGTAGTCATCAGAAGATGGGTACACTGTGGTCATAAAGGGATGGACACGATCAGCAACAATACTCAGGTAGGCTGTGGTGTTTAAACCATGCTCAGTTGGTACTAAGGGGCCCAAAGTGTACCAGTCAGAGATGGTCTTCTGCAGACCTTGGTTGTAATGAGTGGTTATTTGAGTCACTGTTGCCTTTCTATCATCTCAAACCAGTCTGGCCATTCTCCTCTGACCTCTGACCTCTGGCATCAACGAGGCATTTTCACCCAGAGAACTTCCGCTCACTGGGTAGTTTATCTTTTTGGGACCATCCTCTGTAAACCCTAGAGATGGTTGTGCAACAAAATCCCAGTAGATCAGCAGTTTCTGAAATACTCAGACCAGCCCGTCTGGCACCAACAACCATGCCATGTTCACACCTTTCTTCCTCATTCTGATGCTCAGTTTGAACTTCAGCAGGTTGTCTTGACCATGTCCACATGCCTAAATGCAACATCACAAGTTTGAGACTTATGTAGTTTCTGGGTTTGAGAGAGAGCAGCTCATATTCTCAAATATTGACTGAACTTTTCTTGGCCATAGAAATGATATACTGTAATTCTAAATTTAGACGGTGTTCCCCTTTAACATCTCCACTTAATCATCTGAGCAAATTAAAAGCTGTTCACCCAATATAGTGTCAGATAAAATTAGAGTTAAAACTTTTTTCCTCATTCACACCCCTCATGTAAAGCAGTAAATTCCAAGCAAATCAAAAAGAGTGTATTGGATCAATAGCTGCAGCAGTTATTAGGACAACTAACTGTGTGGTTTGCTGATTTGTGAATTTGCCACCGCTCCCCTTAGATACGAATATATGGACAAGACTCTATAATTTCCCTCCATTGCTGACCAGCTTCCAAAATAAAGTGTGCACTTTGCAAAGTTTCCTACAAAGATCAATGAACAATTAGAATATTCCAGTTTGACTGTCCAGTTTGTGGCTTACACCCTTCAAATTCAGGTCACTCGCTGCGTTTTTGTTTATTCTACCCATCCAGCCATTATCTGTAACCACTTACCTTACTCAGGGTCACTGGGGGCTTGCAGCCTATCTCAGCTGACACGGGGCAAGAATACACACTGGACAGGTCCCCAGACTAACACAGGGCTGACACAGACAACCAGTTATGCTCACATTCAAACCTACAGATGATTTAAAGTCTTGTTTGCTTTGTTTTATTGTTTAATTATGATGGTGTCGACTTAATATTCTTAGTTTGCTCAGAGAAAACTGTTTTCTGATCTAATGTGTTTTATGATTTGGAGACTATTCAATAAACTCCACAAGTTGGCAGATCATTTACAGCAGGCCATAGTGTCATGTGTCCACAAGGCGGCGCATGTTGCCTTCAGGTGTTGTTCGAGAGCCCTTCAAAGTCACAGAACTCCTGATTAAAATTCCAACTGTTACATAGACACACCAAAAACAAACACTGCCTTCCTGAGAGTCATAATAATTAACTGTAATATTTCAGAATAAATTACATTATTATCACCTTAAATGCTGTAAAATTGATATTTAATGGTATTCAGAATATTAATGTGAAATTCATGCAGGTAAATGAGGTAATTTTGCAGAGGTACACTGCAAAATCACAGTTGTGGAGTTTAACTTTGAGATTACAGTGAAATACAGTAATTTTATGGGAGCATACTGCTAAATCACAGTAATCCAATGTACATAAACTATGAAGTTAACACTTGAATGCAATATTTTTACAGGAACATACTGTTATATCACAGTAATTAAATGGGCTTTAACTGCGTGTCTGTGTCTGTCATTTCACAAAAATGTACTGTAAAAATGATACAGTAATTTACCATGAATGTACAGTCAAATATTTTACAGTGGTTGCTTTTACTAATTCTTAGGTGAGCTAGTCCACGCTGTAAATTTTGAGCTGATTTAGTAATGTCATCACCCAGGATGCTGGGCTTTTACACATATTTGGCAGAAGTATTTTTAACCTACAGGGAAATAATTCCAATAAGCATTATCAATTAACGAGTCCAAATTTGTTTCATTATTTGAAATAATGAAATTTATTGGAATAATTATGTAATGCATCATCCTTCCTGTGACCCCATCTTGTAAATTTAGTCTCTATATGTTCTTGTATAGTTTTTACATTATAATTGTTATTATTTTTTTATTTGGTTCTTATTTAAAAATTTTCCCCACATACCTCTTGTTACTCTTTTACATTTAGTTTTTCATCTTTTGTTGTTTTTGTGCTCCTGTAACAACCGAATTTCCCCTTCTGACGATCAGTAAACGACGTTTATCTTATCTTATTGTTAAATCACAAGTCTCCACCCCAACCTGCATCAAACTGTCACACCTGACCAGACCACTACCCCAAAGATTATTTAACTCCACCCTTCACGTCTGTGACTCTCTTTTCCCTCCAGACCATGTCAGGCAGGATTATCTTTGTCAACCCTTAAAGGAGTGTTTTGTGTTTATTGTTCTAAGATTCCTGAGTGTAAACAGTTGTGAAGTAGAAAAAGAGTAATGCCGTAGGGGATGCATTAATGACGTGAGTTATATAATAACCTAATTTACCAATATTATATTTATTATTATCATTGTTGAACAATGTGCAGAGCTGTAACATTTTCTCTTAATAACCCTTTTTATAGAGAAAAGATCGACAACTGTTTACCCACTATGTCTACAATAAAGGGCTCCCTGGATGCAGTGTTTGAATATGCATCCTAACATTAGATGTTCTGTGAGCCAACGTCAACATAACTATGCAGTTTTTTTCCTATTTATTTTATCTCATCTTCCAAATCCCCCGTTTCCAAAACTACTTCTACAAGTTTCCAAAATGTCACCTTTGTCACTGTGACCTTTTTTCCACTCAAGCAAAAAGTCAAAAATGTATCATTATTGAATAAAATCTGAATATATGTTATACATAACCAAAAAAAAGTACATTTTAATCACTCAAATTCCCAGTCTGAAATTTTCTCGGGTAGTTTATCGTGTAGCTCTGATTTTCCCTACAGTACCTGAACGCAGCAGACGTTCAACTCCATCCTGATACGTATTTGATGACGCAGCCATACAGGCCGACCGGAAGTGTGTAGGATTTCCTATAGCTTCCTCTCCTTCGCTTCCTCCTCTTAAAATTCGTCTCTGTGAAGCACAGCGAGAGAAAAACGTATTTCATCACCGTTTCTGTCGAAGGAACAACCCGTTACAGAGACGGACTGTACCGTCATGGCGGCGAACAGGCATATTTAGGTGAGTTAACATCGGAGAGCCGCAGCATACCGATAGACAAACCGTTATCAGTTAACATAGCGTTAACCGGGTTGTAACTGAACAGCTGCTAACTTACATTAATGACAACAGCTGCCACTGTTTTAGGTGGAAAATATATAAAATATATTCTTTGTGTGTTTTTTGTTCCGTCTGTCAAGCTAGCTACTCTTTTATGTAACAGTTTTATCTTATATAACTGTGAAATAAGCCAGTGAACGTTACTCTTCTTTTAATGGCCTGTATTGAAACTAGCTGGAGTAATATCAGAACATATGTTGTGTTAGAGGAGTGACACACAAATATTACCAGACAATTTCAAAATAACATGGATGTATAATAAATAATGGTCCACGGAGAACCATTAGATACTGTTTACCTCTATACAGGGGTGGGGGAAATCGATACAGCTAGTATGGTGATATTTTTGTGGCAAAACCCATCGTCAGACAGTGTCATGTATCGATATTGAAAATTATTTACATTATTTATATGAAGAAGCATACAAATTAAATTTTAGGTAGCCTACTAGAATAGCATAATCAATTGCTTTTTCAGTTCACTAGATACATTTTGCTGCAAGAAATGACATGTACAGACTGAAAAATTTATCCTATTAGATGAAACAGATGTTGACAAAGTTTGCCTTTCAGGACATAATTTACAGTTGAAAAAAGATAATAAATAGCAATTTATTTTATCACAATACTCAGCATATCGCAACATAATTTAAATCACAATAATATTGTATAGTGACTTAAGTATCGTAATTATATCTACAGCATATGTGTTATTTATTCTGTTATATAATATACTATGTCCATTTTCTATTATATATTATGCTGCACTACTATATTACAGTATCCTATGTATATTGAATAGAATAGAGTTTATTGCCATTTGCACAATTACGTTACAGTACAGGCACATTGGAATTCTTGTGCGTCTCTCTTCGTCAACTTAGTTAAAAAATATAAAAATATAAAATAGACAAGTTAGTTAGGCAATATCCATACTACACCCAATTGATATTCTACTCTGATTGATATTGTTGTACTCTACTAGGTATTATGTCAACTTGTATTACCTTTCACTTTATAGTGTATCTCATACTAATATCATCATGTACCATTTTATACTGCATTATAATATTTTAATATGCTACACTGATACTTTCATTATTAATCTCACCACGGTCACTGTGACTTTTAATTTTTCTCCCCCCAATTTATTTTGTATTCTATTCTTATTTTAGTTTTATATACCTCTTATTATATCTCTCTTTTACTTTCTCTATTTATCTGTATTGTCGTCCTTGTGCTGCTGTAACAGCTGAATTTTCCCGCTGCGGATCAATAAAGGTTTATCTTATCTGTGTAGAGGAGGGTGTGTGTTAGAGTAATAATTCAATTTATTGACCCTGTTGGGAAATCAAAGTGTTACAGCAGCAAAATTACACGAATTACATAACAGCTGAGGTGAATTTTGTTTAAAGATAAAGCTACAAATAAAAAGAAAAATATTAAAATAAAATAAAAACTGAATAGTCATAACTAAAATGAGGACCACACTCAAATATACACTTTGCAAAGATAGTTAGGGCTGTAATGATTATTTGCGTCACTGATTAATCAGCCAGTTGATTTCTTGAGTATTGGTAATTTATTGTGACACTGTACTGTTACTATTAAGCAGTATTCCCTCACTCTTCTTCCCTTCAGGCAAAAGAGAAGTCTCAGGACAGGATGCTCATCAGACTGCAGACACCATGAGGTGACGACTGTGACATCTTGTATTATTGCCAACCAGGACATATGGCACGGTAATAAACTGATTATCTATGTACTGTAACAGATGTATACTGTACAATGGTACACGATTAAACTGACACTTCACAGAGTTTATTGTAGTTTTTCGATGTGTTCTGTCTCCACAGGATCACGTTTTCCTGCCTGCCGGCCTCCTGGTACTGCAGCGTGTCCCTGTTGTCTCTGGGCTGTGCTCCCAGGCAGAGGGTGCTGCTGCTGCTGCTGCTCTTCATCACCTCCGCCCTCCTCCTCCTGGGAACCTACCAGAGGCAGCTGTGGGGCCCACAGCGACGGCCCGGCTCCCAAGTCAACAAGTGAGTGAATGTCAGAATGAGCATGAGAGTTCTGCACAAACATGATCTTTAGACCTTGTCGTGCTGGGACTGTGCAGAAAGGCAGGTTTTCACCCGTTGCACACATCTGGGAAGTTCCGGTTTGCAACATCAGCAAGGATCAATAATGGTTCCACAGCTGATAGATTTGAACTGGTGTTTGAACCAATAATTCAGCTTGCAAGTTTCATTTGCAGGATTCTAAGAACAAAAACTGTCTTTATTTGTGAAACAATATGAACTGGAGCATGATGACTATCAGTTATGTAAATCAGAGTCTATCTACCCACTTCCCACAGTTTTATTTTCCGAGGGATTAAAAACAAATGTTAACTCCACTGTCACCTCACAGGATGGTGAGGTGAGGCGACATGCTGTAACATGCTCTAACTGTAAGCGCATTTCATAATCAGCGCCAAGAGCCAAGATGGGAATAACTGACACAGAGGAGGTGCTGGAATCACACAACAAAATATTGCTCCACCAGTAAAACTAATTCAAGAAATACTCCTTGTTAATTAACTCAAATTCGCTCATGTTGACCACGTGCTTTTTAACTCTTTCATGTGAACGTGGAAACATTTGTAGCTTGACTGGAAAATTCTTGGTAAACAGAGCAGGCTGATAACAAGCTTTGTGAGAACAGTTACCTAATTTGTTTTGAGAGCCAGACAGCTCGATGTGACTTGAACTCACTTTGTGAGACTGACTGCAGGTGCTTTCTTTAGTAACCAAGGACAGATAGCGATACAGAGATGACTTGTATGAGCCAAAAACACTCTGTAGGTTTATTTGCAACTTCCTTAGTCAGGTTCTGTTTTTTTTTGCATGTCCTAGTAGGTGTTTTTCTACATTTAGTTTAATAAGAAGTACACTAAAAGGAGGGGAGTGACAATTGGACAAGTTGTCTGTTGTCTGGCATCTAAAATGTGTTACATCTACTGTGTGTTCAAGGGTTTTATCAGAGCACTTTGTGTTGTTTTTTTCATGTTGCCTTTGGAAGCAAAGCTATGTGTCTCCCTGTTGCCAGACATTAAAATAAAACTATAATTCTGTGCATCATCTCTAAGTTGGGAAACTGAAGATTAATTGATTTGCGAAGCAGCTGAGCACAGTGTTTCAAGTTTTTCCAGTCATAAATATGTAATAATCATTGTGTTTTGGGGCTCATTGTATCCACAAGTGCTTTAGCTTTCCAGTCATGCGGATTTTATGCAATTCCAATACTGTTTAGGGATCCCAGTATGTAGAAATATTCAAATACAGCTGGTGAAAGTAACACATTTTACTGCATGTTTTTTGCCCAAACCTTCATAGTGGGAAGGTTTACAAAGGGGAGGCTTGTTGGTACCCATAGATCCTATTTTCATTCAGATATCTTAAAGACCCTTGTGAACATGGCCATGCCAGTTTTTCCCTCGCCAAAATTTAGCCTAATTTTGGAGCATTGTTTAGCCCTCTTCTTCTAGTTTTAAGACTCAGCCTGCTATAGCCCTCGAAAGACAGTAATGTCAGCTTGGAACGCCGGCGTCCCTATAGAGTGGAAGAGGTTAAATACAATACATAAGGAGTGTATTCTTCATCTCATAATGCGTCTGTGTTCTTTCTCCTGCAGGTACCTCTCCATCGCAGAGTCCATGGAGTCTACTGACGTCCTCAACCCCGCTCTGAATTATGGGATCGTGGTTGACTGTGGCAGCAGTGGCTCTCGGGTCTTTGTGTACTACTGGCCCCCCCACAACGGGAACCCTCACACCCTGCTGGACATCAAACAGATGAGGGATCGCGACCGCAAACCAGTCGTCAAGAAGATCAAACCTGGTGAGGACATGGAGCTCAGTTTGTCACAGCGATTTGTTTATTGTTACATGCCATCATTCCTGTTGGGTAGTCAACATTGGTACTGACTGAATTAGTACTACTGAATACTGATACAAAGATCCAAGGAGCTCCGTCAGCTTCACAGCGAGCCAAAACTATCGCTGCAGGGCTGATCTGCCATGATACCTTCTGTGTCTGGTCTATATTCGTTTCTAGATTTTTTTAGTAATAGCCTAGTATCACTGAGAGTCGAGCAGACACACAGAATTGAGCTTTAGTCTACTACGTTACCCCTGCAGCTTGTTCAGAATTTGAATTTTTGTTTTAACAGAGAAAGTGACATAATGAAAAAAGGTACCGTTTGGTGCCAGTACCTGTAATGGTTCAAATGTGAATGGTACCCAACTGTACTCTTTAGGTAATAATCAAACATGTTAGTGCTTTCTTGATATACTGAGGTAAATTGTTGCTCTCTAAAAAGTCCTGCACACAAACAAACAAACCAGCAGGCAGACAAAGCTTGGCTCTTGGCTTGCTGAGGACTTTAATATATATATTGTATATATTAAAGTGTATATTCATGCGTAAATGTTTATACAGGCCTCCATGGGCAACTGTAGTTCCTTTGTACATTACGGACTCATTCTTTCCAGAGCAGTCAGGGAAAGAAATTAAGTTTTTGATCAAGAATCAGCCAGGCCTAAAGCAGAAACTCTCAGTTGCTCTGTATATTTCATTTTAGTATCTTTAATAATTTAAAACCAAACTTGAATCATCGGAGCAAATGCAGCAAAGTCGGCGGTGAAAAGGACAAAAATTCCCTCAGAGATTTGGTCAGACGTTGTCTCTTAAAGGAAAAACCCCCATTTTCTTATTGTTTGACTTTACCATGATGCCTTTGAGAAGCAGACAGATATTCAGAATTCACCCAGTGTTGCTGAACATTTTGGTGCCAGCACGAGGATCATTACTTATCTTTGTCTGTCCCTTTGGCTCACAGCCAGAAAAGTGAAGGACAGATTGCGTGAAAGAGATCCGAGAGAGCGTTGGTGGAAAATAGAAATTAGAAAGAAGGACAAATTAAAATAGTTTCTTTTGTGTGGTTAACTTACTTGTTTCATTTTGAATTGAGGAATGTGTCAACAGTAGTATTCCTTATGACGTTACTTTGTTAAACTATTAATCATTCCAGCAGAAAGGACCATTCAGCCCTTGTGATTTTTTTTTTATCTCAGTCACAGCAGAGAGATTAGATACATGGGGTTTGTTCCAGTAGCAGCAGTTTAAGGCTATGTGGCACTTTGAACCCCGGGACAAAATGTACCAACCTGTATGTGAGAACTTGCTCTCTTGCAAGCACAGTTACAGTACTAATCAGTCAGAAAGTGCAGTCATGACCATTGATTTTGGAAATTCCAGAATCTATATTTGTTTTTGATGTTGATTCAATACATTTATTTATACATTTGTCATTTTATTTCAACTAGAACCCAACAGATACATTCGCCAGGCTGACAACTTGGCTGTCATTTCAATGTGGACATCATAATTAGTGTGCTGTGTTTGTGTTTGTATAAATAACTGTCTTGTGAAAACAAATGTGCATTTATTTTTTACCTGATTGTGCTAAAAATGTGTGTGTGTCTTTGGTTGCTCTCTCAGGTATCTCCACCCTGGCAAACACACCAGCGCAGGCCAGTGACTACCTCCATCCGCTCCTCAGCTTCGCTGCTGCTCACGTCCCAAGGAACAAACACAAAGAGACGCCACTCTACATCCTCTGCACTGCTGGCATGAGGCTGCTGCCGGAGAGGTAGATGAACAGCACAATGAGTGTGTGGTTAAACTTGAAATTCCAATGACGTATTTTAAAATCACAGTACGATATTCACTCAGATGCCAGTTTATTAGGCACACTTGGCTAAAACTAATGCAGTCTGAGGCCCTGATTTGACAGGCACACCATACTGCTTTTTTTGTTGAAGCCTGCCCCGATACATCTGTCCCTATAATATACAACTACTATTTCACTGCTGAGAAGTGACCCTTCTTGGTGTTTTATGATAAAAAGCAGCAGAAACACTTCAATTTAAGTACCATCACAAACTTAATTTTTTAGTCTTGGTCTCCACAAGAATAAAATAAAGAAATTTGGTATTAATTGTTGCTAGTGTGCTACACTTGACAGCAAACTGTGTTTCCTTGTGTTATTTTTGTCCAACCCTCTGTATCTAAGTCATATTTCTTGGTTCTCTGCAGCCAACAGGCGGCCATCTTGGAGGACCTTGTCACTGATGTTCCTCTGGAGTTTGACTTCCTGTTCTCCCGTTCCCACGTTGAGGTCATCTCTGGGAAACAAGAAGGTGAGGTGCTAGCATGCTGTGAAGCTATTATATTATTAATTATTATTATTAACAGTGTATTAACTGAATTAAAAGGACGTAACATTCACTGTGGCAGAAATTATTGTCATTTCTAACTGCTTCCTGCCTGTTTTTAGTTTCCCCATCGTGGCTGTGGTGACACGTTCCTGCTGCCTCTCAACCCTGAAGGAGTGTATGCGTGGATTGGCATTAATTTTGTGTTGGGTCGCTTTGATCATGCTGATGAGGGTGAGTGTGAAGGTGTTAACAAGACGCATCTTAAACTAATTACTCTCTTAAAAGAACAAGATGATGTGATTACACCGTAATGCCTTTGTGTTTTTCAGAGGACGCCACAGTTGAGGTGACGACAGGGTCTCAGAACCAGCAGCCAATCAGCAGGCGGCGCACAGTGGGCATCATGGATATGGGTGGAGCTTCACTGCAGATCGCCTATGAGGTGCCCGGCACCATCACCTTCAGTTCACCACAGGAAGTAAGGAAGTGCAGTGAGACATCTGTTACTGGAAGAGTGACGCCTTTTAACTCACATAATACATTTACACGCACACTAATATTTCACTATTATTACGAATACACAATATAACAATATTCTGAATTCAATACAGGTTATGTAAACAGCATATTTTGTATTTTCTGATTAAGACATGTGAGATATGTTGGTATTACTCAGGTTTTAAGAGCATTCTTTGTACATGATAACAGTGTAGTCAGAATGTGCATCTCTGTTGGGTTTTTACCGCAATTTTCAACACACTATCTCGTCTGTTTACGATCAGCTCTGTATGTTGTACACAAACCAACCAGCCAACAGTTTGCAGGCTGAGGTTAGGGACGCATACCCAAAAGACATCCCCATATTTCTGGTTGGAAGGAGAAACACACCTGCACAAAAATATTATGAAAGATTTTTGTTATTAGGTTTTTGGATATGCGCATAAATATGGAAATGCTGACCTTTACAAGAATGTGGTTGAAGGAACTAAAAGAGGGAGGCTGTGTTTGCACAGTCCAACAAGTCCGCCACTGCTGGAAAACTCTGAAAAAATCCTGGCACAAGCCACAGCTGTTCCACTTTTCCGTATTTGAGATGATAAAGGCACATAAATTGGAGTATGCACGGCTGCATTTAAATTAGCATTTAAACAACTTATTGGGAATATTGTCTTTGTTAGAATAAGGACAGAAAACATAGTCACAGTTATTCATTCGGGCTGTAGCCAATGTATATTTTCATTCCCGATGAATTGCTTATTATTTTCTAAATGTATAATTTGGTGGTTTAAAACATGGAGAGAATAAGGTGGCATCATTAAAAGTCTTGTTTTGTGCAACAAACTGTCCAAAACCTTCAAATAATCAGCTTATTTCAATTTAAGACAAAGAAAAGCTGCAAATTCTCCAATTTGAGCACCTGGAATCTTCAAATATTCAACATTTGTGTTTGAAAAATGACTAAAACAAATAATCAACTGTCAAAAATCTTTTTTTTTGTTGTTGTTGATTCCTTTAGTTGGTCGAGACAGCTGGTCTGGTCCGCAGCAATGTAATGTCTCTGTGTGTCTTTTTTTTAGGAGGAGGCAGGGAAGAGTGTTCTGGCTGAGTTTAATCTGGGCTGTGATGTTGAGCACACACAACATGTTTACAGAGTCTACGTCACCACGTTCCTCGGCTTCGGAGGAAACATGGCCAGACAGCGCTACGAGGACCAGCTGGTCAACAACACCCTGGCCAAGAACAGGTTCAGACTCACACATTCACACGCACAATGTGTTATTCGTTTGGCAGCTATTCCTGCCTTTATATGTTAGAGCTGCTTTCATTTCCTCTAATGCCAGTTGTATTGGTGTTATTCAAATTAAGACTGCATTTCTAACAACCCCTACCAGGCTGTAAGGAAGCACGTGAAAATGTTTAGATTTTTCCATCAGCAGTTTATTGCCTCCAACACCTGTCACAACTGAGTCTTTCAGCTGTTTTCTCTGTGAAAACAGCGCCCTCCCTCTGCTTGTGTCATAAAACACAATGCATATTTTCTGTGAAATCAACCAGGTGGTGCAGGATGTAAAATATAGTTGACAAGCCATTCAGATCTGGCAGTCTGTTGTTTATGGTAATTATACTGATATCTCCAAACGAATATGGTAATTAAACCTTGTAAAGATGCTATAACAGTCTGTAGTAGATAATTCTATTAATATCTGTTCTGACACTATAAAACGAGGCCACAGATTGACTTTAAAAGCTGAATCTGTTGCCTCATGATGCATCTAAAATTTAATTTGTCTGTTTGTCCAGGTTTCTCACCACACAGACAGGCCTGAGTGAGGACAAACCGTACCTGGACCCCTGTCTGCCAGTCAGTCTGTCGGACACAGTTGTGAGGGACAACCACACGCTGTACCTGAGGGGTCAGGGCGACTGGACTCGGTGTCAAGAGGCCGTACGACCCTTCCTGGGCCTCCACAACGGTACCATGTCACCAGGGGGCGTCTACCAGGTACGAACCTTCATGTCAACACCAAGCTTGTATGATAGATGACGAATTAAAGGTTCTATATTAAGATTGTGACCAATAATATAGTATCAGACAACTGTTTGTAAAAAATATAGTGGAGTAAGGCATCCTGAGCAGAGAACAAAGTTAGACTACCTCTGTGTGTGTTCGAGCTTCTCTGTTCTTTGTTGTGATAGCCAGGCTGGCCACACATGCATGTTAGTGCTGCTGTGCACTGTGCTCATACGGCACTTATCACTGATACTGCCGTCCTGACCCATCCATGGTGGCGGGACGTTGTTGTTATGGAAGCATAACGCCTACCCTCCAGTTTCCCTCACATCAACACTAGCCCTTTTTACACTGCCAGATTTTTGGCAAATGTTGGGCCGTTTTGCCGGCAAGCTGCGAGCGTTGGCGAGTTGATCCGATGCCCAATTTTCCGCCTCGTAGGGTAGACATGTTGGCGTAACCTTTTTGGTTTAAAAAGAACGAGGTGGCCTTCCGCCACGGGAGGGGCTGTTGATGACTTGTGAGAGGAGCTGTTGATGACGCTGCATGCGCGAGCCACTGGCGGTGGATAAACAGGAAACAGCTGATAGCAGGAATTAGCGAGCAGCTAGTAGCAAGAGGGAAACACAAACCTGAAAGACACTGTAAAGATGAGCAACTGGGGAGACAAGGAATTGCGCGCCCTCCTTGACCTCGCAAACGAAGAGGCCATTAACCGCCAGATGACGAGAACGGTGAAGAAAACGACAATTTACGAGAGAATCCATGAAAAATCGACTGACCAGCCGCGGCTTCCCTCCCACGTCACTGTTTATGTCACACGCTGAGCTGAGTTTTGTTACATGCTCACGCCCCCCATTGCCCTGAAAAAGGCACATTCTGTATAAACAAAAGTAGGTAGGAGGCATTTTGCTGCACTCCCCGATTTTGTTTTTATACTGCCAATGCTGAAAAAAGACTGATTGGGCTTTCCTGCAAATTTGCACAATTCCTATTTAAAAAGGGCTACTGTTTGCTTTGTCAGCCCTGTTGCCATTGTTAGCATAGTTACTGGAGCTAGCACTGCTACTGGCCGCCATTTTGGCTCAACCACCCTCATGTTTGCTTGTGACATCAAAGGTGAGAGCCGTGTGCAGGCAGTCCTGGCCCAGACTCTGAATGAGGCATATAGCACCTGTAGAGTGCAAGTCAGTTCTCTGAGTTGCATGATGTTGCACATAAACTCACATAAAGAAACAGACTGTACTTAAAAATGATATAGTTGTTGTTATTGTAAGCATAATTATATGGTGGCATGATGTCATTACATTTTGGTTTGTCAATACATCAGTAAAGTTAGACACGTTCATGATAATCCATTCTCTTCATTTGAGGGGATCACTTTATTCATGAACTCAGTTGAAGTCACAGCTCATTGGACAGACCACAGAAATGCCAAATCATAACTTTAAATGGCCATGTCTTGTTTCCAGGCTCCCATCAACTTCAGCAACAGTGAGTTCTATGGCTTCTCTGAGTTTTTTTACTGTATGGAGGACGTGCTGAGGCTGAGAGGACAGTATGACAGTGAGAAGTACTCCAAAGCTGCTACGGTATTTTCCATGAGTGATTTGGCTGCACATTAGAATTTTACTCTTTATCTAATTGTTCAGAGAAAGTTGAAAATTGTGATTTTTTTTTTTTTCTGCAGGAGTACTGCTCCACCAAGTGGTCGACACTAAAACAGCGTCTGGACAACAAGCTTTTCTCTCAGCAGGCCGACGTCAGCAGACTCAAGTAGGTCCATCTCTCTTCTCTCTCTTCTCTTTGTGTATTCGTGTGATTTTGGGTTTGTATACCTGATAGTTGATAATGATGTCATTCGAGTCACTTAAACCTCCCGTGAATGTGAAATACTTAAATAGAAATTCAGTTTAGCTGGTGGCTGTAAAACCCCAAAGCTTCTGAAGATTTTGTAAATGCAATTCATTTATCTTTCTAAATATAAATCAGGCTCAACAGTAAGATTTGGCAGGGATTTCATATTGAACAATTAATTCTTAAGCTTGACAACTGAGCCTATGTGTTCATTTTCTTGACTAACACTCAAAGCCAACTGTTCTCCCATTGAACAACAGATATGTAAATAAGTTCAGTGTCATCAAAGCTTAAATATTAAACACCAAAACCAGAACAGAGTCAGTCTGCAATACATTATTCACTTTGAACTTTCCTGTTCAAAGTAACCAGGTCGTCTTTCCTGGAGGACAGATGATGACATCTAGCGGAGCAAACTCTAAAATAAAACCTCAAACACACACAAGCAGCAGCTTTAAATGAGAAGTGCAAATATGCAGTTGTAACACTCAAGCAGTTACTTTGTTGCCTGTAGATGGCGCTCACTGACATATCTACTTGTGCATGTGGGACTAAAACTTCTGCTGTACAACTGGCTGATACCTACAGAATAAACACCTGTTAATTTATCTTCCTCTGACAAGTCATCCCTCTCTTGTTAACGCAGGTATCAGTGCTTCAAGTCAGCCTGGATGTACGAAGTGTTGCACTCAGGCTTCCGCTTCCCCACCGACTATCCAAGTCTGAAAACTGCCCAGCTGGTTTATGACAAGGAGGTCCAGTGGACTCTGGGAGCCATCCTGTTTAAGACCCGTTTCCTGCCTCTCAGGTAACTCCATCATTACAACACACACACACACACACACCCAGACCAGGACAGCAGCTCTGAAACATTTGACTATTTGATGAATTGTGCTTTCAGGTGAATATATATGAGTTCCACCTCACAACACTGTCATCGTAGGAGTCAGTGTTTAATTTGAACTATGGCTCCTACTATCACCTTTTAAACATGAAGTTCAGGAAACAGATCATTATGTGTAAATATTTTCAGAGAAATATGTAGTGTGACAATGAAAGAAAACCGACTCCATCTTCTGTCACATCTCCCTTCCTGTAGACTCAAGTATAAGGCATTATAATTCTTTATTAGGCAGAAATATAACCACCAAAGTTAAATTAAAATGAAGTATTTATCATTTAGTCAGTGGAAGATGTGCAGCACAGTGGCTGAATGCACAGTTGTTCACTTAAAATTGTTCCAAATTTAGTCCTCATCACACTGATGTACCAATTTTGATATCTGATTTTGAAAACATAATTCTGCAGTTCCCAAAAATGAAAACCTTAGCAAGTTTTACCAATGAAAGGTCACTCAGCTTACTTAAGACAGTGGGGTCAAAATGGTCAAAAGTGTCATCAAAAAGGGGAGGACTATCCTTAATAGGGTCAATAAAGTAGCTTTACTAGTTCACTTACATTTTGTATTAACTATTTTGAACTCCAAACATACACGTTGATGAAGGGTACAGGTCTAAGGGACGGTAATGGACCCAGGAAATTCATTGCAGGATCTGACTGGACCCAATAAATAAATAAAGAGGAGAAAACCAACAGGTCTCAGGTCTCAAACCCTGTGATTAAAATTGCTGCTAAAAATGCGTTTCTACTGCTAAAAATGTTTTTCATGTCCAATATAACTGACTGTTCTTTCCCATATATATGTGTTGTTTAATAATTTTGTTTTATTTTATCTATTGTCATTGATTTTGTTGTGATGCGAGCCCACCAGCGAGCAGTTTATGTTTAAATTTATGTTAGTAAGCCCATGGACATGCTACACATCGTTAGCTCGGTTATATTCTCCCCAATGAGCCCTTCTAAGCCCCACCCCTTTTTGCTTTGCGCTCTATTAACAGTTGAGCAAGTTTGGTCACACGGCAGAACCTCAGTCAGCTTTATTCTACGTGCTACGCTCATCTATGTTGAAAAGAAAACCACAGTTTGAAGGTGACAAAAAGAGGGTTCCTGGGTTCCTTCAATTTGCTTATGGCTGATGGTCCTTTGTTTATATTTCTCTGTATGGCTACGTGTCATCCCAAAGTAACTATAGTAACTTATTACAGTAAAGAGAGACACACCTTTGGTCAGCACCATAGCCTGTATTCAGAAAGAACTACTTCACTGATTCCCAGAAGGGGAAAGAGGACACATACCTGGCAGTGCAGGAGCAGTGTTGACTCATGGTCTCATAATCCTCAGTCTTCTCCCTTTCTCGCTGAAACCAGAGGCCTCAACTGGTGCCCCTTTGCCTTATTCATAAAAGCTAACATGGTGAATGTATCCTTCCTGATGGAGGCTTTTTGAAGCCACATTGTCTGACACCTACAGTCTATCTAATAAACACTGCGACACCTGGCTAGGTGGAACCAGCATCACCCTGTTTCTTTTGGTCAAACTTGTCCCACTTAGCAACATTAACTAAGGGGGGGCGGAGACTTAGGATCAGTCAGTTCAGTCACTCAGTTCATTTTACAGAAACCATGAGCACCAAAGTTTAATTCATTCAGATCTGCAGGCATGACTCCCTTCTCTCAGTCAGAGTCCGAATATATGTCCATTCCTTGATAATTTATATTCCTCTAGTCCGTAACGGTCCACTGTTCAAAAGAACCAAAGTGGTTTTTCATTAGAGTTAATCCAAGTTGTAAATTTTGGCTCACTGTCCAACATTTCTCTACTCTGTGTCCAACTTCCTGGTGCTGCTGTTCAGCGTTTTTTTTCCTTGACTTTCAGTCTCGTAAACTGATCCTAAATCAGCCTAATTATCACACAAATTACACACACAGCACTCACTTGTTTCTCTCATGATCAGTGCTGATCAAGGGTCTTCTTGAATCCGTGTCTCTATTACCTATAATGATAAACAGACCCGGAATGGGACCCAGACGTTATTGACCTTAATAAAATGTGTTCCTGAACCTGTGCAGATCCTGGGTCAGGTCTCGGGTCCTAGTGACCGGGTAGATCTGTGAAATCCTTGAGTGGAGGATTAACGTTTTGCTATTAAGCATCACAGAAAATACACACGCTGTATGAGACAAACAGATTTTGTTTTTTACGTTAAAGGACACTCACAGACTGCTGTTTCTACTGTTGTGTTCATCTGCAAAGATCAGGTCTAATTTGTATGAAACATGTGTCAGCGTGTCTGCTCATGCCGTCTGCTGCCCCTCCTGTCTCCTCCAGGGACCTGCAGCAGGAAACACTGCGGCAGAACCACCCCAGCTGGCTGCGCTCCTCCTTCGTCTACAACCACCACCTGTTCTCGCTCTGCATCCTGGTGGTGGTGCTGGCCATCCTGCTCTACATCCTGCGCCTGCGGAGGATCCACCAGCGGGAGCAGCGGCAGGCCGAGGCCCTGAACCTCCTCTGGGCCGAGGAGGGAGAGGCCCTCCTCCCCTGAGAGATGTGTCTGTGATGGGAGGTTCCAGACTGATAACCTGCAGGGCCTGGTGTCCTCAATGACCACAGTACTGAAGAATGTGAGTGTGGAGAACAGATGAGAAAACTAAGCTAAGGGTGTGACTCAGCCACCGAGAAATATCGGTAGATTTCATTGCGTGGAAAAACATCACCGTACAGAGACAGTTTAATGAGCCTGGAAATCAAACTCCTCTGTATATTCTTTGATCGTGCAGCTTTAAACACAGAGCCTATCTCAGACTGGAAAGATGTTCTCTGTGATCACTTTCTTCTTTGGAAGAAAACAATCAGCTTGGCCTAACAGGACAGACCAACTATCATTAGTTTGCTACCCATTTCTCTCATCGTCCAAAGCCATGTTGTTGTGTAGGTGCTCATCTCAGTTTAATGGCTGTCTGGACAGTTAGCCTGGATTCAGCGCGCTGATAAACGTCGTAACTGCTGAGCGAGAAGCCAGAGGTGGTAATGATCCCCACCAGAGGAAATTTAGCAAAGGAAGATGGATTTAACTTTGGAGACTGTTCAACAACCATTTAGGAGAAGCTGTCTGAAGGCACATAAGATGAAAATGTAACTCATCCACCATTAGGATTCATATGTTTCTTTGCTACCAGCGTGGCTCTGCTGAAGGCCGTGCTGTGAGACTATATTTCAACAAATCAAACGACCAAGTAATTTAGCAGTGACATTCATTTTCACAAGAGAATTAATCCTAAGGACTTTGGTGACGTGTAATCAAGTAAAGTCCAATACTTCAGTTCATGACAGGATACCTCCAGAACAAATCCAGTTTGCCTCAGCTGTACTTTGAGTTTAAGGCCAACATAGCAGACAGTGTTTATGTCAAATGGGATGGATGATAGAGATTGGGATGATTCCCACGTTCTAGACTGGGAGCGTTCACGTCATTGGATACAAGGCATTTGTATGAATGTTGAGTTAGTCATTTGACAGTTCAAAGTACAGTGCATTGACAGTATAACACAGATTTATTGAACAGTATTACTTTACCTTTGGGTTTAATTAACTTGAATGACTCAGTTGAAGCCTGATATATCACAGCTGTCAGAAAAATCAGTTTCCCAGTTGTAGTTTAGATGGATTGGACATTGAAAACTGATGTTAATTACACTAACGACATGACGTGAATGTGGCATAACATACTAACTGTAAGACCGTTACCCTGCCAGCCTCACTGCATGTTAAAATGCTAAACACGAACCAGCTGGTATTAAAAGAAATGTTTGCATCGTTAGTTATCTGGACTATAACAGGACTGTGATGGAACTTTTAGCATGTTAGCATGCTAATAATAGCTAATTGAATATTAACATGATAATGAAGCTTAAAGGGACAGTTCACCCCAACATCAGAAACACATATTTTCTCAACCGTGGTGCTGTTTATTAATTTAGATTGCTTTGGGTTGTTGAGTGTTGAAGATGTCTGCCTTCTCTCCAGTATCATGAAACTAGATGGCACTCATCTTGTGGTGCTCAAAGTGCCAACAAATACTTTTGAAAACTCAGCAGCAATGTCTCTTTCCAGAAATCATGATCTGGTTACTGAAGATAATCCACAGAACTTGTTGTAAATGAACTGCACTTACATAGTGCCTTTCTAGTCATTTGATCACTCAAAGCGCTTTTTACACTACGAGTCACAGTCACCCATTCATACACTGGTGACCAAGGCTACCGTACAAGGTGCCACCTGCTACTCAGTTTTTAACATACTCACACACCGATGGAACAGCCATGGGGAGCAATTTGGGACTCAGTATCTCGCTCAAGGATACTTCAACATGCAGACTGGTGGAACTGGAGATCAAACCACTGATCTTCCAATCTTCCGATCTTCCGACCTGCTCTACCTTGTGAACAGTTTCATGCAGGAACTATTTTCTTTCCACTGAACTACCCCTGCCAAAAAAAAGCATGCATCTACTCATGGACAAGAGGCTTATGCTCGTGATAGCACGAGATGTCACAAGAAATTATCGTTGTCCTCTTTGGCTGAGCTGTAATGTTAGCTAGCTCAGTGGTGCTAGGTGAGCTAACAGTAGATGCACTCTTCCTTCTGCACAGCTGTAGTATAGTGGCGAGTCTAGTTCGTCAGAAAGAAATTCCTACATGAAACTACTCACAACAAGGTCTGTGGATTGTCATGAGCAACCGGGTCATGATTTCTGGAAAGAGACATGGTGCTTTACACACTACAAGCTGAGTGCCATGTAGTTCTGTCGTACTGGAGAGAAGGCAGACAACTCTATGGTCGATATCTCCAACACCCTGGAAACTCGCACCAAAACAATCTAGGCTGATAAATAGCACCACAGGTTAGAGGAAACAAATATGTACTTTTGATTTGGCTGTGAACTGTCCCATTAGGGTACAGCTGAGTTCAACAAAGTCCCACTGATACTAAAGAAATCTGAGCCTCACAAAATGGCCGCCATACAGGTGTTCAGGTAACAACGGTTTCATTCAGGTCTCCCTCTAATTTTCTTCCATTTAACATCTTTGATTGAGGATAGTTACCTGCCAATGTTTGTATAATTCCCTAAACATTATGTTGCATCTCCTGTGCTCCATTTTTGTCCAGATGTGGTCTTTATGTAAGTGTGTCCCTCCCTTCAACATGTACATGTGATGTTTGAGTATCTTCATCTGGTGACATGTAACAGATTTAAACATGAAAGTCCCACCCGCAAACAGAAAGTAGATGTGAAGAAGCTTCACTTGGCTGGAAACTGATTTTTATTTCACCTTCAATCTTAGTGATCAAAATCATTTTACCACCGTCTAGCAGCTGAAATAGTCACACCCCAAAAGTGATTTAGCATGATTACACTCTGGTGCGAGGTGATATCATGAGTGCAGCAGTGCTTTTCGAAAGCAGCCCTGCAGCCCGATGATGTCAGCCGCAGAGCTCCAGGGCCTCAGATTGTGCTTTGATACTTGAATGCCACTGTTGTCCTGCCAAGACCTCCGTCCAGCTCAGATGTTTATCAGAGGAAAGACAGAGCCAAGAGAAATTTTAGCTGAAATAAGCTGAGAGATCTGCGCAGTGTTTAGATGAAGGCGCTGAAAGCAGACAAAGGCCCTGGAGGCCTGAATTAAACAGATGCCGTCTGATTTCTGAATGCAGTGTCTCCACGAAAGGAAGAAACGTGTCTAATGTCACAAGACAAAATGGATGCTGGGACATGCAAATAAAGTACAGCAACAATCTCAATATGTGATAAATAACTAATATGGTTTTCAAAATGAAAAACTTTAAAGCCATTCTTGAGGAAAAAAAGCCTTACCCTCAAAAAAAGAGGGTCTATTTTAATCAGTTTTTACACATACTGTATTTCAGAGCTGTAAATGAAGCCACTGTTTTGGCCGTTTTGTTTTTTCTAGTGAGTCTTGGCATCGTGTCATGTGCTGACAGATTGGTACAGCTGTGCAGCAGAGTATGACGATGCAAATATGTGTCTGAGGGGCACCTGGTGAAACTTCCTGAGAAGTTAAATAATGTGTCGATCCCACAGTGGGAGATTTTTTTAACGTCCAAAATTCTGATTTGTAATTAATTCTCGCTGATTTCAGTGAGAGGTGTGGAGCATGATTCATCGCACAAAATGATGATGACTCTATTGTTTCAAAAGAGAGAGCTGTTGTGCTGGTGTGAATGTTTGGCTGTTGAAAGAGAGGAGAGATTTCTGCATCTCATAAATGTGTTTCCACTTGTGCTAAATATGATCTATACACACACACTCGGTCTTTTCTATTCATCCTGACACAGATGAGTTCTGACACGTCCTTGTCAAGCTGTCAGTGTGTGTTTGTAACCTTTGTCTCATCATCTGTGCCGCAAACAATACTTTCACTTGTGAATCCTGGAGTTAACAGCAGCCAACGGTCTGAAATGTAAACGCTGACAGAGTTATTTCTGTTGAATTTCTGATGCCGTCACATACTTCACACTGTAAGCTTACTGTGGACCTCTTTCTGATTCATCCTGATGTGGTTTCCAGGATTTTCTGCTGCTCCTCTGATGTTTTTGACTCCTGACTGGGGACCAGTGGTTGAGTGTGTCTTTCCAGAGCTGGGCTTTGTGCAATGTTGAACAGTAATTCACTGACTTGACTTTGATGTTTTTAATTAGGGTACCTTTTTAACATCAATGTGAATAGAAATGATTCCAATCCAATAAAGATCCCTTTTGTAATAAAATCTGTTTTTAGTCTTGTCTGTTGGCTGCTGCTGTGCCTTCAAGTGGGTGTAGGATTACGGGGCATTTACGCCCTTCGCACTGTCTTACAGACAAACTCAACCTGTAAGGGAATACATTTACCCCCAAATGACCGTTTGTATACCAGTTACTCACCTTGTCTTACCTTGAATTTGTGAAGAAGACCGTTTTTCTCACATGCCTCAACTGCAAAATTGGTACCAATACCACCTTTTTTTTCTAATTCATTCAGTACTCATCATGTGAATGGAAGCATTGAGCTGCATAAAATGCAAACAGACACCACAGGTGTGCAGTATAGCCAAACTTTCAAACATTTAGGTGGTATCTCGGCACACTTAACCGCCCAGCTCCACCAAATACACTGCGCTCGACTCCTCCACACCACAGACTGTATGGGTTATAGCTGCTGCAGTAGTGGGCCTATAACATGTTGCATGAAATCGAACACTTGCAGTGACTGGCTACGAGTAAAACCACACAAGTTGTTATTTTTTCTAGATGTGGTTACATAAATGATTGAATGCAGGCATTGTTTGACTGCACAAGTTTTGATAATATTTAGAACTGGGTTATTTTGTTCAGTACATTAAAGGGATAGTGCACCCAAAAATGAAATGAAAGCCATTGTCTACTCACCCATATTCCGAGGGAGGCTCAGGTGAAGTTTTAGAGTCCTCATATGACTTGCGGAGATCCAAGGGGAGAGGAGGTAGCAACACAACTCCACCTAATGCAGGCTGACGGCGTCCCAGATTCAAACGCCCAAAAACACATAATTGAAACCACAAAATATCTCCATACTGCTCATCCGTAGTGATCCAAGTGTCCTGAAGCCCCGACATAAAAAGTTGTTTGGAAAAACGTCATTTGAACTCTGTTTTTAGCCTCATTGTAGCCTGTAGCTCTGACTGCCTCTCTGTGCACTGCGCTCACGTGTGCAGTATGGAGATATTTTGTGGTTTCAATTATGTGTTTTTGGACGTTTGAATCTGGGGCACCGTCAGCCTCCATTAGGTGGAGTTGTGTTGCTACCCACTCTCCCCTCAGATCTCCGCAAGTGATGTGAGGACTCTAAAACTTCACCTGAGCCTCCCTCGGCATATGGGTGAGTAAATAATGGCTGAATTTTCATTTTTGGGTGCACTATCCCTTTAAAGGTATCAAGTACTACGCACATACAAAGCCCTGCTAAACAGTGAATGAAGGCCCCCAAAACGGCTAACATTCTTTATGAGTTGACATAAAAAGGGTGTAAAGAAATACTGATGAACATGTTTTATCAAGATATGTAAATTTGTGTTAGAGGTTCAATAAATGCAAAAAGGGTCCATTTGCACATTGGGAAGGATTATTTTTTAAATGAAGATACTGAGAAACCTGTCATTGCCAAGGACTTTTCTGAGAGGTTCATTTTTTAGCATTTTATTTGAAATACAAATAGGTTGTCTTTAATCGCTTAGCACTATATCACACCTGTTTACAATCCAAGTGTCATTCATCTAGTTGTATGCTCAGTACTTCCCAAACACATGCATTTTGACGTAGATACTTTACACACATCCCCCGTCCGGCAGCTCAGAAGATCTAGACAATCAGCAGTTTGACGGTGGACCCCCAAGATTAGTGCCACTAATCCAGTATCTGACCAAATGTCTCCTTCTGTTCCGACGCTGAATAACGGCCACAAAAGTGTTTTATCCAGAACATTATGATGTCACAGTGAAGCTGACCTTTGGCTTTTTGGATTTAAAATGTCATCACTTTATCATATTAGTTATTTGTGTGAATTCTTTGTCTCAATTAGTGAGTGAATTCTTGAGTTATGGCCAAAAACATGTTTTGTGAGGTCACACTGACCTTCAGCCACCAAATTCCAATCATTCTTGAATCAAAGTGGACGTTTGTCAAATATGAGGAAACTCCCTCGAGGCCTTTGTAGCATATTGTGTGCACAAGAATGAGATGCAGGCAAGGTCATAGTGACTTTGACCTGTGACCACCGAAATCTAATCAGTTCATTGTTGAGTCCAAGCAGATGTTTGTGCTTGATTGAATAAATCCCACAAGGCACTCGAGATAGTGCAGCCACTAGAATGGAATGGATGGACAGAACGACAGCCTGAAAACATAGTGACCCCGGCCTCGGCTATCATCAGCACGGACACATAATTAAACAAAGCCTCTATGCATAGTTTGAGAAAATTAAAGGTAAGTGAAAACACAAATTTGGATTTATTTCGGGGTACTGATGCTTTAAAAATTGGGCTTA